GAGAGAGAGAGAGAGAGAGAGAGAGAGAGAGAGAGAGAGAGAGAGAGAGAGAGAGAGAGAGAGAGAGAGCAAATTTTGTGTGCATTGTTCCGTGGTACTGCAGACTTGCACTTTGACTTTCTAGAGTGAATTGGGCCGAAACTGTGCCCACTCTTAAGAAAGGACAAGTGTGAGTATGCCCTTGATTTATTACGGATGCCCGCAGAGCTGCGCATCCTCCGTGTTTAGTGATCAGCAGATATGTAAACGCATGCTGTGGATACTTGCAATCCTCAATTGACTTGCCTGTGTGTCTGCTTCCGTGTGTGTGTGTGTGTGTGTGTGTGTGTGTGTGAGAGAGAGAGAGAGAGAGAGAGAGAGAGAGAGAGAGAGAGAGAGAGAGAGGGGTGGGGAAGGGGGAGAATGTGTGGGAATGTGCGTGCGTGCACGCACTCCTGTTAAATGAAGTTCGCTAAATGCCCCTCCGGTTCCCTCCCCCAATGAACATAAGCAGTCTCTGCTAAATGCCGCTCGGGGGGACCAACAGCCTATCTCTAGGTGCAATCTTCCAGCAACAGCTTTTGCTGGGGCATTGTAGGATTTTATAGGATGTTCCTGGCTGCAATAATGGTCAGATTCTGTCAGAAAAGTACGAGTTTGAAGACGTACTCACACTGGTACCTTTTTCATGCAAATCGGTCAAGGCAATGAGGTGTACGGAGTCGCACCGGTACTCGTCAGTTCACAGGTCAGCGAATGAGCTGGTTAATATCAACGCCCTGCTTAGCCGTAGAACGTAGCACACGTAGAAGGCGGCGTATCATGGCTCTTCTGTAGGCGGCCTTGAGATTGAACTGACCCTCCCCAGGTAAGTCAACATTATTTTATACTGGTCATCTGGTTGCATCCGGATTCGAACTCGGGTATGCATTTCAGCAATTCATGAGCGTACCAATGTAGCTAGGCCCGTTCGTAGAAGGTAGTACTTTGTGGGCGTCGCTGAAGGGAGGTCTCGTCAGCAAGGGGTCAGGATTAAACCACCACTACCTTTGGCGCTTCTCTGCCAAGCTTCGAAACCCCCTGCCCCGGCGCCTGTGCGCGCCAAAAAAAGGCAAACTGGTGCGCGCGGGCGGGTGTCCTTTTGGCGGGCACCGCCAGTTATTCCGGCCCGGCGGGCAGACCCGCGAAAGCTGTGGCGCATTAACGCCCGCATCCGAAAAGAAGCGATGGGCGAGGTACTGGTGTAACAAAGGTTTTTTTTTTTTATTTTTTTATTTTTTTTTTTTTTATATATATATATATATATATATTATAAAGCAGGGAGGAGGCGGAGGCGGGGAATCCCTCCACATCTCCACCCGGAGACTCGGGCCATTACCCAGATTCGGCTGTGTTGGAAATCGGGTCCAGCGTCCCGAGATAAAGCCCTACAGCAGTCTACAACCTTTTTTTTTTTTTTTTTTTTTTTTTTTTTTTTTTTAGGCCCTTGTGCAAGGCCTCTATCCTGGTGGTGGTACGAGAACCACCGGGATGGAGGCTTTGCCTGGCGGGCCGCTCCATCCATTGGTGGGGAGCAACACCTGCTGGAAACCGCGTCCAGCGTCTACAACCTTAAGCTACTGAATTATCAAATTCCCGCTGTGCTGGAGATCGGCTCCAGCGCCCCAAGATAAAAACCATATAGCAGTCTACCATTGCAAGCTACTAAATATCCAATTCCTGCTACTCCTACTCCGTAATCTAAAGATTCTCAAAATGAACTATTATATTAGTATATTCTCATTGGCCCCAAACGGGCTGAGTCCATACCTTCGGTATACTGAAAAAAAAAAAAAAACCCTTACTTCCTGTTGAAGGTGTTATCTTAGATGTCACAGCAAGCATCCAAATTTTTTAGAGAACCTCTCAGCCCAGGGACTGCCTGATTATCTGATGAGATCTGGTTCCCTGTGTTGGTCATGGAGAGAGAGAGAGAGAGAGAGAGAGAGAGAGTTGTGTGTGTGTGTGTGGGGATCTGATTAAGAGCACTAGTTCTGTTATTGCCCTTAGTCAAAACCCTCAGTAACTGCTGGGGATAACTCATTAGTGTTTTCCAACTTGTCCTCCCATAAATGTCGGGAAATAACCAAGTTACCCTGCTGAGAGAATGAAACCCATTTAAACTTTAAAGTCTTCGTTCCAACTTGAGCTTAACCTGATCCGGGCTGTCCTCCTTATTGTTAAAAAAAAAAAAAAAAAAAAAAAAAAAAAAAAAAAAAAGCTCCCTCCATTCTGCACAAATGAGGTCGCATACCGAAAATTTGAATTTGTTACGGATAGCGGAGGACGCAACCTCATTTGTGCAGAATGGAGGACCGGAATTTCGCCTTAAATCTTCTGTCCCTCCTGGCGAGCCACAGAATCCGGAAACCCAGGACGCTGAACTTATTAGCAAAATTTGTGACCGGTTATCTGATTGGTTACTCCCTAGCATAATAAACTCTTTAGTCCATACCTTTCTTGGGCCATAGGCAAAAAAAACATAAGGAGTAGACCCAATCCCAAAAACCTCGGGCCACGATGCATTGCCACCACAAGTGACTTGAATCCTCCAAACAATCGTGAGGACAGACATCGCATTGTGGGGAGATATCCATCCCTCTGCTGGTGCACCACTCCGCTGTGGGTACACTTGAGTGCATATGCAGCCACTGGAGCCCGGCGACTTTTTTTTTTTTTTTTTTTTAACCACTAGTACCTGTGCCGCGTGGGAAAATAGCGGGCCTCGGGTGGGCCTCCGACCTTTTCGGATGGCCGAAACGAAATGACGGCCACCGATCAGATTTATCAATGGCAGCTGTCGTGGGGCCCGACCTCCGAATTTTCAGGAGTTTGGGAAAACGTCCACTTTTCCCTAATTTCCCAACACTGACGGAGGTACTAGGGCTTTAATATGTAATTTTGTCAATCTGACTGTATCTGGATTCGAACTTGAGTCTGTATTCCAACAGTTCATGGGTATACCAACTGACCTAGGCCCGTTGGTAGAGCCCAGCGACTTTGACTTCCATAATACTTGGAATCATAGACACGAAAAGCTCAGCGCATGTTCTGCTGAAAGAGAGCCATCATTCTGAGACTGTTTTTTTTTTTTTTTTTTTTTTTTTTTTTTTTTTGAGACTGGGTTTCTCGATGTCCAGCCGTTCCAGGTGTTGGCTTGTAACAGGGATGCTCCCGATCTCAACGAGTAGAGTAGCCCACTTTGGATGAGTATTCTGTGTGATTAGCACTGTGGAGCTGGTTGCCAGTTCTGCTGAGACTACCCAGCCTACCCTTAGCGCATCCACTTTCCAGTGCCTGCAGGGGGTGCCTCCCAGAGCTAGCGAGAGCCTCTTGCTGCCCCTGTACACCTGCTCAACGATCTTTACCTCTTCCCACTCACCTTCTGTGGGTGGGGTAACCGTGTCCTGCTGTTTACTAAGGAATTCCTTACCCTGGGACCATACTGATGCTACCACAGATTGCTGGTCTTCCTGCGTCTCGATCTCGAAGAACCGCTCTTTCGTGCCCGGTTCACGCCACCATGTGTCCTTCTGCCACTTGGCCCCTTGTGTGCTCAGACTGGTCTCGATCTTGAAGAACCGCTCTTTCTTGCCCAGTTCGCGCAACCATGTGTCCTTCTGCCACTTGGCCCCTTGTGTTCTCAGACTGGTCTCAATCTTGAAGAACCGCTCTTTCTTGCCCGGTTCAGGCCACCATGTGTCCTTCTGCCACTTGACCCCTTGTGTTCTCAGACTGTTTGTCCACTCCTGTGGCACTGCCTGCTTCATATTCTGCCGATGTGTCTGGTCGATGTTCCGCAATCCTTCCAGCTTGTGCTTGAGTTGCTCCCGGGCCACTGTTTTCCATCGGCCATTGTGTTCATCAATCAGGTGGCGAATCTGCCTTACCCCCCGCTGCATCCATTTCCTGGCAAATCGCCAGCTCTGTTTGCAACAGAGAACGGTGACCCATGGTCTTCCCTGATGGCAGGGTTGTTGAATAGGCAGTTACCTAGGATTTCTCCTTTAGTCTTTGGATGGGATATTGTGTAAGGTAAGATTCTACTCCACGCTTTCAAAATTGGGGACCAAGCTTTCAAAATTGGGGACCAAGTGGGGGATTCTACGGATGAAATAAAGGGATGGAGTAGAGAGCCTGCCAAACAGATTTGGGATCAGTCAGATCCCATTCCTTGCATAGTATAGCGCCTGCGCAAGTGTCATCCACGGTTGATTTGTCTCTGAAGTGAGAAGTTTCACCGGCCATTTTGCCAGCAGTGCATCATTCTGCAACTCGGGATCCAAGAGACCCAGACCCCCATGGGATTTCTTTTCTATTAGTTCCCACCACGCAACCTTACTTATGCATGCGGGGATGTTGGAGTCACCCTTCCAGATATAGCGGGCGAGTAATTGTCTAAGCAGTTTTGCTGATCCCGGGCTGAGTGCTCTGATGGACAGGGTGTACCACGTTGTTCACTTTTTTTTTTCTGTTTTTTTTTTTTTTTTTTTTTTTTTTTTTTTTTTTTTTTTTTTTTTTTTTTTTTTTTTTTTTTTTTGTGTTTTTTTTTTTTTTTTTTTTTTTTTTTTTTTTTTTTTGTTTTGTTT